GCGAGTCAGAGCAGAAGAGACCGTTTCCAACCCTCTGCCTCAGAGCAGAGAGACCGCAGTCTGTTCTTCAGTGAGCTCTCCAGGCCACACTGTCTCCGTTTCTGTCCGTGCTGCTATAAACTGCAGCGTCCTGGGTTGTGCGCCCCTCCGCAGCGCCCCCAGTCTTGCCTCCAGGTCGGGGTAGGTCTCTGCCCTTTGTGCTTCTAAAACTGCCAGCCGCTCCCCCAGTTCTCACGCACGACCCTGCCACTCCGGGTTTCCGCCCCGGGGGCTGCCCTAAAGTCCTTTCCCCGCCACTACCGGTCTGTGAGTCTGCCTCGTACGCAGCGCGCGAGGCTGTCGCTCATCAGCGGTGTAGGATCCCCACAGCCAGGCACCCTCCTGCTGCCGTTTATCCTCCGATATCTGCCCGCGGAATCAGGGCTCCCAGCTTCATACCTCAAAACCAAACGCCTGCAATATTCTGCTTGTAGAGATCCAGATCTTCTTACATCTCAGGCTGGTTTCGTGGGTGCTCAGAGTGGTCTGATAGATATCCAGCTCAATTCCGGGGACCAGCTGAAATAGGGTCCCCTACTCCTCTGCCATCTTTTCCTAGTCTCCCACTAAAGTTTTTAAAAAATCACTTTTGGGGGCGCCTGGATGGCTCAGTTGGTTAAACATCCCATCTTCTGCTCGGGTCATGATCCCTGGGTCAGGTCAGGGGATTGAGCCCCACGTCGCGCTCCCTGCTCAGTGGGGAGCCTGCTTCTCCCTCTGCCTCTGACCTCCCGCCTCCATCCCAGCTCGTGCTCTCTCACTCTTGATCTCAAATAAACAAGTAAATCACTTTTGATGCTATGGAAACAAGCTAGTTTGGAGGTGGGAAAGATAGACACAGGCAGCTCAGTGAGGAGGCTATTGTAAGAATACAGATGAGAGAAGATACTGGCTTAGACTGACCGGCGTGGTAGTTGAGAAAATGGTGAGGAATGGTTAGATTCTGGAATATCTGGAAGACAAGGCTGGATATACATTTAAGGTTGTGAGATAGGGAAGTCAAGGATAACTCCATTTCTTTTTGTCTTGAGCAAAGGAAAGGATGAAGTTGTCATTTAGTGAGACAGGAAAAAATGGGAGAGGAGCAGGTGTGGGGTAAAAGCCAGGAGTTTGGTTTGGGACCATATGGGATGTCTGTTAGACAGCCAAGCAAGGGATTAAGTAGGTGGACATGAGCACATAGTTCAGGAGAGGGGTATGAACTGGGAATAACAATCCTGGGAGTCCAAAGCATATACAGATAACACATAGCAATGAAACAGAGTGACATCACCTAGAAAGTGAGCATAGACAAAGAAAAGAAGACCTAGGACTGAGCCCTGGGCCATTCCAATGCTTAGCGGTTGAGAAGATGTGGAGGGACCAGAGGAGGTCTAGTGAGGAGAGAGGAGATCAAAGGGAGCGATGTCCTCAAAGCCAAGTGAAGAAAAAGGTTCATACCATGATCAAGTGGGATTTACCTCAGGAATGCAAGGTTGACTTAATATGCAAAAGTTAATCGATGTAATACACCGTATTACTAAAGTACAAAAACCACATGATCATCTCAAAACACACATTAAAAGCATTTGACAAAATCCAACACGGTAGATCCATAAATGGAATCCTCTGCAGATGTTAGAAGAATGGTGTAGAACTTTATGTAGTAATATGAAAAGATCTCTAAGATATATTGTTCAGTGAAAAATTAAGTTACAAAACAGCATATATTGCATGACTTCACTAATGTTTTTTAAAATTATAGGGAAGAAATACAGGAAAAAATAAACATAAAAGAGTAAATAATGTATTGCCTAATAATGAGCTAAACATCAATTGAAAAGAGAGTAAATATTGATCATTAAATCAGCTGAGCCACCTCTGTAACATACCATAGTCACAATTTCACTATTATCAGTAGCAGCTTACTTACAACAGCGACAGGGTCATTGCTCCGTGTGGCCGCAAGACTGAAATATTTCACGTGTGTGTTGGTTTCCAAAGCTTTTGCAAAATCTTTTAGGGTTGGAACTGGGATATTCTTGGAAGACAATCATGTGAAATATGACATTTTAGTTTTCAGGAAATTCGGTCCATTAGTCAAATATATTCATACTTACTTTTTTTCATTATTAAAAAGACTCAGAAATTATATAAATAAAACATTTAGTCTACAAAGGAAAACAAACAGCCTCCTTCCTATCTATTTGATTTCTCTATTATGGTACATTTGCACAAACTGCTGACCTAGAGGAGAGTATAAACCATCATTTCTCTAGCATTTTGATTAAAGAAACTTTCATTATTCTACACTTAACTATTTGGATTATAAGACGTCAACACCTGGGTATTCAAAATGGATCCTCTTTTCTACAAAGGGAGAGATGTCACTTAGTTTAAGCTGTAATAAGAGAGATTAACCCTACACTACCTGAAATGTGGAAAGATATAGTTCTAGAAGGCACTAATTTCTCCCTTTAGTACCAAGACTACAATTCCCTGTAGCCTGGTTATTTTCAGATCATTACCTGTTGATTTAGATATGTGAGGACTGAATTTTTTTTAAATCAAAATTAGTGATCAACTAGGAATGTTAGCTTTTTCCAAGGCTTGCTTTCTTCAGCTCATAGGAAGGAATACCTGCTAAAGGAGCACAGAGGTCTTATTCCCTAGGTTCTTATAATTCCCAGATGCTCTCTCAGCCCTCGATTCAGACAAATCAAGATTTAAAATGAGGAATTCTTAAAAATAAAATAAAATGAGGAATCTTAATGCAGCTATTATACAATAACTAATACTCAAGAGATAATCTGAATTTACTCTTTGATAATTAATCATCCCTATGCCCTCCTAACTCATTTCTTCTTTACTCCAAGGAAGCATTGCATTTTTTAAAACTCAAGATCCCAGAAAGCCCACTACTGTTTACTCCAGAGAAATGAAAACATATGTTCACATGTTCATATGTTCATAATGGCTTTATTATAATCACTCCAAACCAGAGAGAATCCATATGTCTATCAAGTGGTGAATAAACAAATTGCAACAGATCTATACAGCAGAATACTACTCAACAAACCACTGACATATACAACCACACAGATGAATTATGCTAAGTGAAAGAAGCCAGACTCAAAAGGTTCATACTATATGATTCCATTTATAGGACATTCTGGAGAGGGCAAATGAGGGAAAGAAAACAGATACGAGTGGTCAGGGGCTAGAGCTGGGGGCAGAGAATGACAACAAAGGGGACTGACATGTTCCACATCTATGGTGGTGGTTGTACAACTTCTGCATTGGCCAAAATTCATGGAACTGTACACTGAACAGGCAGAATTTCAGTAGGTAGCAGAATCTGGTTCAATACAAGGAATACCTCAAGAAACCTGATTAAAAAAAAAACAAAAAACCCAAAAGACTAAATGCTCTTAGAATTAGGCAGTACTTTGGAAGCCAGAGAGATTTATGCTAACGGTCTGTAGGGTTTACATTTCCATATGATACTTTTTAAAAAGCGAGTCAGAAAAATATTATACTTTAATTTCTAAAATATAAAGGAATCTAAGCATACTGTTAGGGGCAAAAACTTTACCTTTAAGTAGAAATATAGAATCACACTTTATCAAAACTGCCCAACTCTCATCCTAGATCTAACTTACTTAAAGCAAGTCAAAACTTTGTTTGCTTAGCACACGTACCTTTATATTATTCAAATTAACTTCAACAAGACGAACATCATTTTCTTTAATTCTCTTTAAACTCTCTTCAACATTGGTTGGATTTGGTGGCTCATCAAATACTGGAAGAATCTTTTCACCTTTTACCACATCTGTAGTAACAAACGAAAAGAGCAAGAGTCTCAATGGCTGATACTATTACAGTGAGTGCATATATGAACTTGATAATGCAAAGAACACACACGTACATGCACATTCAATTCAACTAACCAGAAAGTTTTCCCCCACGATTTCTAAAAGATCCTTTACATGTTAACACACATTTAAAGCACTCAAATAAAATGTTATCCTCTCGTATCATTTTCTCTTAGATTTAACTAGTAATTACTGTAAAGGCAATACGAATCACAGACTTAAAGAAACACAGCCTCAGTGAGAAGAATAAAGTGATGAAGGACACGTGACTTCTTTCTCTTATGGGGAGTACTATGCCTGGGAAAAAGGGGAGGATGTGTAGGAATAGGGAAGGGGGAGTCAGACAAGACAGAAATCCCCCAAATTACTGCCCTTCTTCACTCCTATCCCCCAATCCTTCACCATATATACCATATTCCATACACACGGCCAAAATACAACTAAGCAAAGCTGAAAGAGGACCCAAGAGCCTTGAATCCCCTAATGAGATGTAAGTACACTTTGATGTGTACTTGAAGGTCTATGAACACATGTAACAGGCAAACTTTAATGGATAAATTTTCTGGGGAGAACACCTAAGCATCAGATTCATGTCAAATGACCAGAAAAAGTTAAGAGCAACTGACAGAAATATTGACAGGGTCACTGTCTGGCTCAGTTGTTCCCTCCTACCCTCCTCTAGCTTTTAGGAGCAAAACTCATCTTAAGACGAAGTATATTGGGGGCGCCTGGGTGGCTCAGTCAGTTAAGCATCTGTCTTCAGCTCAGGTCATGATCCCAGGGTCCTGGGATCAAGTTCTGCATCGGGCTCCCTGCTCAGCGGGGAATCTGCCTCTCCCTCTCCCTCTGCTCTTGCTCTCTCTCCCACGGTCTCTCTCTAAGTAAAATCTTAAAAAAAAAAAAAAAAAAGTCAAAGTATACTGAATAAATTCCTTCTAAGAGTACCTTGTTCTTTTCAAATTTATCACGAGGAGATCAATTTAGACAATGGCCTGAAAATTATTTTCCTGAGGAATGTGGAAAGATTGGGATATATTTAGCCTGGATGTATATATTAAAAGAAAGTATGTTGGGCGCCTGGGTGGCTCAGTCGTTAACCGTCTGCCTTCTGCTCAGGTCATGATCCCAGGGTCCTGGGATCGAGTCCCACATCGGGCTCCCTGCCCGGCAGGAAGCCTGTTTCTCCCTCTCCCACTCCCCCTGCTTGTGTTCCTGCTCTCGCTATCTCTGCCTCTTTCAATTAAATAAATAAAATCTTTAAAAAAAAAAAAAAAGTATGTTCATTGTTTTCAGATTTACCCTGTAGAAGAAGAGAGATATTTCAAGTTGTTCTGAAAGAATAGGTATAGATTGCCTGGAGGCAGAATTTGGGTCAATACAAAGATAAGCTTCCTACCAGAGCTCTGCTAAAAGGACAGAGTGGGCTCCCTCTCACCTAAGTTCAGCAAGGTAATCTTCTTCAAGATTGTAGATCAAGGGGGCTGGAGAAGAGCTTCCCCACTACAAAGAAAACTAAATGAGTTCTATCTCAGTTTTAAATTTTATAAAACCAAAAGATTTCTTTCCTCACTCCACAGAGTATGTGCATTTAAAGAGCACTGCTTCTGGGGCGCCAGAGTGGCTCAGTCGGTTAAGCGTCTGCCTTCGGCTCAGGTCATGATCCCGGGGTCCTGGGATCAAGTCCCGCATCGGGCTCCTTGCTCCGCGGGAAGCCTGCTTCTCCCTCTCCCACTCCCCCTGCTTGTGTTCCCTCTCTGTGTCTCTCTCTGTCAAAAAAATAAATAAAATCTTTAAAAAAAAAAAAAATAAATAAAGAGCACTGCTTCTAAATGAAGTAATGCATCCAGTAAATGGGATGCTGAAACCATTAAGAAAGGCTCATGGGAGACTTTTTTAAAAATTTTTTTAAAAAGATTTTATTTATTTGACAGAGAGAGACACAGTGAGAGAGGGAACACAAGCAGGGGGAGTAGGAGAGGGAGAAGCAGGCTTCCCGCTGAGCAGGGAGC